TTAAACACAAAATTTAAAGTTATTTATTTTGAAAATTTCCAATAAAATTTTGATTTTTTACTTAATAAAGTTAATAATAATATCTTAAACTATATTTTTTATAATATAAGTAAGTTATAAAAATTAATATTTAAATTTTATTAAAAATTTTTAAAAACTTATTAAAATTTTAAATATGCAGGCAAATTTGCCTGCATTACAATTTAAGGGATAATTTTATTATAAAATGTTGTAACTTTATTGTCAAATATTTTTTAATTAAATATTTTTTTGCTGAATGATTTTTTTGCCAAATTATTTTATTGCTAAATAATTTTATTACTGAATAATTTTATTTTTGAATGATTTTATTACTAAATGATTATTTCTTGCTGAATGGTTTGTTTTTTTTACTAAAGTATTATATATTTTTTAAGTGCTGAATGGCATAAATTGGATCAAATAACAAAACTTCAGTATAAACTTTTATTAATAAATTTGAATTTAATTGACTGTAATTTGATAGCCAAATAATCTAATTTGGATTAGTATATAATTAGGTATTTATTTTTCTCTAGGTAGTTAAACACTATTTAAGGCAATAATATAGATTTTGGAATTTCTGTTTTTCTGTATTTATTGAATAATGTCAAAAAAGTATAGGAGTTAAACCTTTTTATAAGAGCCTTGTATTAAACTCTTCCTAGCAAAAGAGATGTATGTTATGCTATAAATATTGTATCTTGTTTTGCAAGTGAAAGTATAATAAATCTAATAAAGCATGATAGCCATTTTTTTTTTCAAAAAAAAATATGAATTAAAAATTATTTAATTAAGTTTTCTTTCTCTTATATATTTTATTAACTCTTAAAATTTTTAGCTTTTTATATTATTTTCAATTATTATATAAAATAAATTAAACATGCCAAATATAAAACAATAAGTTAAAGTATTATTATATTGTGCTATTTATATTGTTTATAAGTCACATTTATAATATCTAATATAAGTACACAATTATAATACCTTTTATTTTATTACTTATAATATATATAATAAAAATTTAACAAATAAACAAATCAATAATTTTATTGATGAAATACTAAGATTTTGACAATATCATATAATATTATGCACTGAATTATTTATAAAATTTTTATTTCAAGTTATAACCAATGTATCTTCTTTTTTACTTGGTTTTGCACTTGTTAAATCTTTATGTTTTATTAATCTTATTGTATATTTTTAATCTGTGCTATTAGTAATATATATTTGTAAAAATCTGTAATAAAAGAAATAAAAAAAATCATAAAAAAAAATTTATTAAAAAACAACTGTTACTGTACTACTTTTTTTATATAATTAAAAGCAGACAAACGAGATCTTTAAACTTAGATAACTTTCGATCAAAGATTCATTATACTGTAAGAATAAGTTTTAAGAACAAAGATTTATATAAAAGTAAAGTTGAAGTATCGAATAATTCAAATTATTATAAAGATCATTACCGGTTAAATTTAAAACGTGTTTGTTTGTGAATAGAAAACGAAAAAAAAAATACAGTACTATAAAAAAAATTCTTTAGAAAATTTATATTTATAGGTAATATTTGATGGATATCTTTCATGACATGTCATTATTTCTTGCGTTCAAGATTTTTGCATATTGCATGGTTTGTCCAAATTGTTTTTATATCTCGTATAACTGAAAGAAGCACTTGACTACATAATTTTTATAATTTTTATAAAATTGAAGTAAATGCTTCACAGCTTGTAAGTATTTAAGAGGATAGATATTTTAAAATTCCATGTTTTTTTTCCTGAACTTGTATGAGCAGCACTTTTATCTATTTTATTTACAGTAGTTTTTATGTTTTGTATTTCTTTAAAAAAGGTTATACAGTATTAATGTACTTTATCAAAAATACTGTATGTACTGTAGATCGATGTATCGAAAGCTTTTGTAAAATCAGTAATAAATAAAATGAGTGATTTTATCAAGAAAATTACGTATTGTAGATTTGCAAATTGCTATTCCAGCTTAATTTGTTTATAGTACTGTACAGTACAGTACATTAATCCTACATTCATTAGATTTGTCAGTTCTATGAGCAATTCTGGTCCAAGAACCTTTACGAAAACTAATTTAACAATAAGGATATTGCAAAATTGTTTTTTGTGACCTTCAAGAACTTTTTTTTGTTATCTTTAAACATTTTGAGCATATGATGGCTCTTAACGATCATCGAATCTCTTCGTAAACCTTTGTTTCCTAAAATACTCTAGTACAGTATATGCTATATTTACATGCATGTAAATCGCTACAACTTCTCGTTTATTGACGACGATACAGTACTAGCATGATAAAACAAGGCATGGCGTAACTACATATCCCCCAAAATGGAGATAATTACAACTAAAAACCATGTGATTTAAATTTTTCGTATTTAAATCTTGAACTTTTGACTTTCTTGGAAACGATAATGAGCGAAGAAAGTAATTTCACAGGTATTCATCCCTCTTCGAATGAGAAGTTAGGCTATAATGCCGATAACTCGATCTATCAAGAAAATGATTATATAAATCATTACACCACCGTTTTCCACGTCCACATGCCTGAACTTGGTCGATTTTACGTGCCTGCGATTCTCGGAAGTTGTGAATCTTTAGGCGAATGGAATAAAAAAAACCCCAAAGTATTTCTTAGAAATGTAAATAATTCAACTCTTTGGGTATCCGATCCAGTCTTAGTTCCAAATTAT